TAGCGGTATTGGTGTGCGCGGCTAGCGGTATTGGTGTGTGTGTGTGGCTGCCGGTTCTGGTGCAACTATTGAACTGATAGTGGTGAAATTATTGATTTTGGTGGTGAAATCACTGATTTTGGTAGTGAAATCACTGATTTTGGTGGTGAAATCACTGATTTTGGTGGCGAAATCACTGATTTTGGTGGCGAAATCACTGATTTTGGTGGTGAAATTACTGATTTTGGTGGTGAACTCACTGATTTTGGTGGATTAAGGATTTTGATTTCAGTAAAGTGGTCTACAGTTTTCAGTAAAGTGGTCTACTGTTTTCAGTAAAGTGGTCTACTGTTTTCAGTAAAGTGGTCTACTGTTTTCAGTAAGTGGCTTACTACTGTTTTCAGTACAGTGGTCTACTGCTTTCAGTAAGTGGCCTACTGTTTTCAGTAAAGTGGTCTACTGTTTTCAGTAAAGTGGTCTACTGTTTTCAGTAAGTGGCCTACTGTTTTCAGTAAAGTGGCCTACTGCTAAATGGAATAGAACAATCATTAGGACAGCAGTATTATTATCTGTCTTGAGACATGAGTTATTAAAACCATACTATGATTATAACATTTATACCCTTATATGTTATAATTATAATGTAAGTATAGCGTTTTATATATTGAAGATAAAATCCTACAAGGAGCACCACGCCCCAAACAAATATATGATGAAACTGATGAAACGAAGGAGGGAGTGATGTTGTTGCTGTTCTATTTTTTGTCCGGGAAATGGACAAATCGTTTTTAGACAGTTCGAAAAAAATTTTGATGACAAATATTTTTTGCAATATATTTTGCAAAATTTCTTTTTTTGAAATGGATGAGGTGAGGAGATTGAGGAAATGACATTTTGGAGGGTAGTTGGTGAAATGAATGAGGCGAGGAGAAAGGGGAAAAGGATGGCGAAAATTTTGGAAAAATGATGATAAAAAAACGGATGAGATGGACAGAAAGGAATGTAGAAAAATGATGAAAACAAATAAGGGTAGAAGATGGAAGATGAAAAAAAATGTAGGGTGGGGGGTATGTATGAAGCAATTTATTTGCGGGGCAAGGCCCCCGACTACTGAATCAGGGTCAACCTGTCACTGAACAAACATTATCGGGCCCGACTTTGATGTCATCAGTCATTTGCTAAGGGCAGACAGCTATGGGGCGACTCCCTGGAGTTCCAGGGTGCTGCCTTTCTTCTGCACCGCAGGTTGGTGTCGGACGCAGGTGACGCAGCAAAGAGTCCCGAAGAGTTCCTGAATTTTGTCATCAAGCAGGAACTGGGGGGTAACACGAGCGTATCCATGATGCAGGTCCCTTACTTTGATGTCTCAGTTCCAGTTCACTACTTGTTTTGCGTTTCCAAAATGGCCGTTTGCCCGGTTTGTTAGCTGTTGTTAGCAGGTGCATTCAGTTGATCTTTCCGCTCATAGCGGCACCCTAACAGCAATCGCTGCTCTAGTATTGGCTTAGAATTGGCCGAACTCTGAGTCGGTCTTCAGTGACCATGAGGGGGATGGAATTGTGCCATTCGGGGGATGGGCTTTTTGCCTTCCCAGAGGCTCCGATCGGCTCCGGCTTTCACTGGAAGACCCAACCCCTCATTGGACAGTTTGGATGTGTTGGGCCTCACTAGCCCCATTCTTTTTCTCAGAAGAGGGGTCACCATTTGGCGACTCTACAGGCAATCTGCGGCTGTTCATGACGTGGATCCAAGCATTGGGGTGCCACGAGTAGTTATTGACACTTGGACGTGTTTGGTCTCAAAACCTGGCGGTTAATGAGGGCTCCAAGGTTGAAGCGCTTGCCCAACACCCTCTCGCGCGCCCATTCTTTCGGCAGCATTTGGCAGGAGTTTTGGGAGCAGCTCAAAGACGAAATGCTGCGGCTGGAGGAGGATTGGATTGTGCCAGCAGGAGTATGGGATTTTGCCTTCAGCATTTGCCCAATATTTTCTCGCGCCCCTTTTTCTTCAGCATTTGGCAGGACTTTTGGGAGCAACTTAGGAAGACGCAATACTGCTTGCAGGCGCAAAGTGTTATTTTGCCCTGTAGGGCTGAGTCAGATGATCTGCAATTGGTGGCTTGGACTAGTGGGTTGGGAATTTGAACCCCTGGTTCTCGTACAGGGAAAATTGGAAATCACCCCCTAACAACCAAGCCACCAATGCAAACCACCAAGTAGAGAGAAGACGGCTGCACCTGAAGGAACAGCATTGGGCTGACATGTTGGAGGAGCAGAAAGGAGACCTGGAGCAAGCCGAGGAACACCTGAAGGAGTGGTGCCGACCATGTGAAAGTTGCAGACATTTTGCATGAGCTGGGCATGTTGCTAAAGCAGAAAGGAGACCTGGAGTATGCCGAGGAGCACTTGAAGGAACAGCATTGGGCTGGCATGGTGCTCAAGCAGCAAGGAGACCTGGAGCAAGCCGAGGAGCACCTGAAAGAGGCGCTGAGAATGAAGTCAGTCTATGGTGGTGCCGACCATGTGGACGTTGCACGCGCTTTGCATATGCTGGGCATGTTGCTCAAGCAGAAAAGAGAATGGGAGCAAGCCGAGGAGCACCTGATGGAGGCGGTGAGGATGATGAAGTCCGTCAATGGTGGTGCCGACCATGTGGACGGTGCGCGCGCTTTGCATATGCCGGGCATGTTGCTCAAGCAGAAAGGAGTCCTGGAGCAAGCCGAGGAGCACCTGAAGGAGGCGCTGAGGATGAAGAGGTCCGTCTGTGCCATGCTGGTGCCGACCATGCAGAGATTGCAGTTACTTTGCATGAGCTGGGTATGGTGCTCAAGCACCTGAAGGAGGCTCGGAGGATGAAGCAGTCCGTCTATGGTGTTGCCACCATAAAGGTGGACATTTCCTTGCCGAGCGGGAAATGGTCATGCTTCTCCATGAGCTGCTTCCCGAACATGCTCGTTCAGGAGCTGAAGGCTGCCGCGCAGCAGCAATTCCAGGGATGCTTCCTAAGGCTCATTGCGAAACTTGGTGGCTCTGGACCTAAAATGGACTGATAATTTGTATGGAAGGCGCCACCTCGTAATAGCACCCAAGAAGCTTTCTTTTTTGTGGAAATGACGGCGGTCTTCCCTAAAAACTATGACAACTTGTCGCAGGGGGTCATATGAAACAATGGCCACCCAGGAAAGGCCAGCTGCTCGATGTGGCGGCCACGCTGCGTGATGCTGGCTTGCGAGATGGGGACGACGTGGATGCGGTGGTGCAGCCTGTCCAGCTGGCTACCACTGGCAAGGCGTTTGCCTTACACATCCTAGAGGGTGAGGTTGTAGCGTGGGGTGGGAGAGAACTCGGTGGAGACAGCAGCAAGGTGCGAAAGCAGCTGAGGGACGTGCAGCAGATTCAAGAACGCGTGGTGCTTTTGCTGCCATTCTAAAGTCTGGAGCTGTCGTCGGCTGTCGTGACATGGGGTGGTCCTGATAGCGGCGGAGACAGCAGCCAGGTGCAGGTTCAGCTGAGGAACGTGCAGCACGTTCAAGCAACGTGTGGTGCCTTTGCTGCCATCCTGGAATCTGGAGCTGTTGTGACATGGGGTGATCCCAAAAACGGCGGAGACCGCAGCCAGGTGCAGGATCAGCAAGGAACGTGCAGCACATTCAAGCAACGTGTGGTGCCTTTGCTGCCATCTGGAATCTGGAGCTGTTGTGACATGGGGTCATGGGGTGATCCCAAAAACGGCGGAGAATTCAGCCAGGTGCTGAGGAACGTGCAGCACATTCAAGCAACTTGTGGTGCCTCTGCTGCCATTCTAGAGTCTGGAGCTGTCGTGACATGGGGTGATCCTGATGACAACGGCCACCATAAAAGCTCGGGTTGGGGGTTCCAACAGACCTCATTGGTGGGTTCAGTGTAATTTGACTTCACCTCACCAGATTTCACACCCAAGCCACCTCCAGCCACGCGAGCCACTGCCCCCGACCATGACCTCTGGTTTTTCCACACATTGGGGGGGATGCTTGACGCTTGCTATGACATTTGGCTGTGGGTCAAAATTAAACAGGAGGGGCAAACTGCAGATTTTGTCCATGTTTCCGCAGGGTTCCATTTTGGGTACCCGTTTTTTTAGCCACAGCCATTTAAGTGAGTCCTTTCCAGAACACGCCGTCACTCTCGGGCCTTCAGAGTGCCGAAGAGGACCAGTGAGACCACGGCGCAACGGCTCAACGTTGTATCCGGCTTCCCTAGCTTTTGGAGCAAGCCCACAGGAAGACAAGCCTGGGGTAGACGTAGGATACATTTTGCCATTTTTACCAGTGACTCAAATTGACCACTGATACATTTCATCCACTACCAGTGACTCAAATTGAAGCAAACAATGAAATATAGATTCTATAACTGGTTGCCCAACTCTAATCATGAAGCGAGTCCAATCACAAGGACCCCTGATGTGCCATCAATCAACTTGAGTAGGTGCACATCGGTACCTGACGGCGTGGACAATGTGCAAGAATCTGGAGGACCGTACCTGTCCGAGATTCCTACACTGAACGAACCACCTTGGATTTGTTTGATCCCAATCCAAAGTGTACAGTTTTCAATACTCCCGCTTGTACGGCACTTAGAAGGTCGGATTCTCCTTTCCCACATGGAAAGTAGTGTCCTTGATGTCACACTGAGCTGGGCACGTAATATGCATGCTGGAGGCTAAGTTAAGTTCTGGCGGAACATGTGTGGAGCTTGCCAGAGATATTGTTGTTCGCCCGGTTTGCTCAATTAGTGAATGCACGATCCTTGCTTTCTAGAGATGTGCGTTTGATCTGCCTGGTCTTAAGGTCCATCCACATAAAAACCTATGTGGGGGTCCAGCGGTTACATGATGTTCAGGACCCAAAGGAGAACTATGGAGAATTCATAGGAAATCAGTTGAATCGGACCCGTGCCCAAGGGTATAGAGGGTTTGCATGCTTTTCGTTGTATAGAGGGGCGACCCTCGGCCCTGCCCCGTGCCCAAGTTTCTGTGGCCCCGAGGTGAGCCATGGCGAGGCGAACCGCGCAAGTCCCGTGTCCCGCCTGGCGTGGGCTTCTTTTCCGACCTGCTGGGCGTTTGGTTTGGCAAAGGAGGGGCACTGTTCTTTTTTTTGGTGCCTTGTGTGTCAACAAAAATAGGGGGGACTGTTCTTTACGTTTTTTTTCGGAGATGTTTCTGCTTCTTTTTTTGCCAGAGAAAGGCCCTTCTGGGACATCGGGACATTTCGATGTTCTTTTCCGAACACCTGCACAAATATCCTTCTGGGACGTTTTTGGAGATTTCTATTTCTCAGAGTTTCAAGTCCCAGGTTACGCGCTGCTCCGCCAAGGACCTCACACATGGAAGACCGGTTAGACTTCCATTTGCTGAAATGAATCCGTCAGGAATCCTTTTTTTGACAACCCCAAGCTATAGACTTAAACCCCGGCTACCGTGCTGCGGGAGTTCCGGTGCCCCTGAGATAACGCCACTTGAACCCTGAAGAATCCAACTTAAACATGGATGTTAGCCCCACAATTATGGAGTGAAGTCCACGTTTTTATCGTAATGTGTGGATTTCTTGCAGAAAAGTCCACTCTCCAGAAATTATTGCAGCTCACCAGAAGCGAGCTGTGGCGTCCCATCAATAAAAATATTAACACTGAATCTGGACCCTTCTTTCATGTCGTGTCTTATCCGAATCCAAATGAGGCGTTCAACAAAAGATGATGAACAGATTGGGAGATAAAGACCCACCGCTTCCTACCTCAGCCCTTTTTTCGCTCGTCTCACACCAACAAACAATGTTGCATCTGGGGCTGAGTTCAAAAGTCGTGAGTTACCTTCCGGCTTAGAGACCAGTCCAAGCGCGCATCCGGACATGATTTTGATGTTTGCTCCTTCCGTTGGGTTCTTCTTGGAACTTGTTTTGTCCGCAGCGGCGCTCACTGCTCCACGGCTTCCGATTCTTTTAAGGCTACAGTTTGTGCTCCCTAAGGAGAGCTTTGTGGATTCTCTGACCCTCAAGGAGCCAGGTGTGTTGTTGTTTTTTTTGTGGATGGTTTAGGCTTCTTTTTTCTATGGACAGCTTGGTGGATTCACTGGGGCTTCCCTCAAGGAGCTTCTCGGGGGTTTTGGGTCCCTGGCAGGTTGAGGTTGGCCAGGCTGTCTTCAACCCAACCGTCAGGGTGCTGGGTGATTCATACTTCATGATTTGAGCCTCAGGAAGGGAGCCCCCAAATTAGTTGCTTCTGTCTCCAAACGGAGTTTCTTCAGAAATCCCTCTTGCTCCTCTTCAGGAAGGATTGTCAGGAACGGGCCTGGGACGGCTCACTTCTTGTCTCTTCGATTCGCCAAGTTGAGCCTTCGCAACGCACAGGAAGCGAAGAACGAGGCTCAGCCTGGTGGGCCTTTAGCATCGCAGTTTTGGGATGGACTGATATGGACTCACTTGAGTCATAATAAAAACCGATCGGTATTCACATGGTTTACCCAGCACCATGTACAGAATTGCAAAAGCGGATATCCGCACCCATTCATGGCAAGGGGATTATCCCTTACTAACCTTCATCTACGCGAATCGGTTTTGATTGGACGTGGCTCGCTTGGGGTGGACTCAAAATCTATGAAAAGCTCCAACTCATGGTCAAGAGTTACGATGGTGAAAGGTGTGCTTTTCTTTATCACGGAAAGGGCTAGGCCACCAACCCTCGTGTGTCCTGTTTACATGGGAACCCTTCTCATGCTGCCCAGTTGAACTAGGTTCTCTACGTAGTCCAAGACTTGAGTTAGTTGCGCAAACGTACTCGTCTCCTCCAAAATAGATGCAACTACGGTTTGCTTCTAGATGAACAACAGGAGTTGCCGCAAGAGGAAGCTCGGTTTGGGGAAAGAAGGGCTGTTTTGGCAGGCGAATGACTCATGGTGAGAGTCAGGAAGCTTGGACTCTCCAATTACCCTCTTGCCCGTAAAAAGCAATGGCGTATTGCAAGCCAAAACCAATTGTTGGTAAAATCCAACTTTTAGTTGATAGCTTGATATGCGGGGAGTTGCTACATTCTTGCAAAGTTCGGGGGATGGCTCAGAAAGCTGCAAAACTGATGCTGCCCATGTTTCCCATGAGTAGATTCCAGTGAGAGCCCCCCTTCGGCCTTTATGGTTTACTCCCGAACTCCGGTCTTGGCTTGGCAGCGGGCCCAAAGCAAGCCGATGTTTGAGCCAGGGCCCAATTTCACCGCCAAATTTGGAGCCGCCACCAGCGGCTGAAGCGAGGTGTCCAGAGGTGTCCAGTGGCTTCGGGGTCAAAACCACCCTTTGCGCAATGGAGAATACCTGGAGTTTCCTGGGGTCACGACGCCGTATTTGTTGGTAATGACTCATTTTTGAGGGGTCAGAAGGAGACTCTAGTTGCAAACCTTCCACCCTTGTACCTTCTGACCGCGAGTTTACTCTTTCATAGGCTTTGAGCGCGCCCTCAGTGAGTCCCAATCAGAATCGACCATTACAGGAGTCCATCCAAAAGCTGCCAAGGGGCAAGGCTCACCAGGCTGAGCCTTGGCAACGTTTCCCACTCGTTGTTTTTTCTTTTCGGGGGATCGATCTTGAACCTCCGCTGAGCGTCAGGAAGCCGATGAATCCATGGTGAAACCCAATTGTTTAGTTGGTACTTTGAGGGAGGTGGTCAGTTGGGGGTATTTTTTGGGTATTGCAGCCCAACATGCGGTGAAGTCTCTTTATAACGTCTGTTGCCCAGTGGCGCCCTGTTTTCAACTTTTTTGGGGGAAGGGTTAATTTTTAAACTTGACCAACCAAACAAGGATGCCCTATTTGTCCCATGGAAATCCACTGGGCATCTGAGTTAAGGGTCGTTTGAGGTCTCAAAAAGCTCATTTCACCGCAGTTGTTGCCGCCCCATGCGCCCCTGTTTCCCTGACCCTCTAAATGCTAACTGCCTGCATGGTTGGTGAGTTGGTTGCTCCGAAATGATGCAATTGGTGAATCACCTCTTGGGCAAGTCGAAAGCATGCAGGCCTTTTGCAGGTGGCGTAGAGAAACACGGCTTTTTTGTGTCGTGTTTTCACCGAGAGCTCTTGCAGGCTGGACAGCGGCGCCTTCTCGGCGGCGAGATGCCAAAGGGGAGCAGTTGAGATGCTTTGGGAGTGTCTCTCTTTGCGTTGTTGGACCCTCAAAAAAGAAGTACCAACCCAAAAATGCTTGATGAATTCCGCCTGGTTTTGTCAGGTTCAACGGGCTCCCAAGATTCGGATTTGTTGCTGGCCATGGGGAACTTGGCTAGGTGACACCTGGAGTCTCCGGTCATGACCCCTAGAGAAAGGGGTAATCTTGGGTAATGACCAACCATTTTTAAAGGGTCAGAAGGAGACTCTGGGCACTTGAAATGAGCCCCCTTTGGAGTTCACCTGACTTGGCCGAAAAACGAGGTTCGGCCCGTTTGGCGTTGTGGACCATTACTGTGGATGGTTGCAAAAAATCCGTTCGATGTCGCCACGAAATGAAATCATGGCTGAACTCAGTTTTTGTTGGTGTTCTTCCACCGCACGGCAGGGGGACAACAAATTTTGAGAGGCTGTGGGAACTCTTACCTATTTGGTGACAAAGCCCTGATAGTGCCAGAATTGGCCATAGGACATGGAACCGCTTTCGAGTTGCACAGCTCAGTTGCGGACGTTGCAATCGTTTGATTGCACAGCTCAGTTTGGCTCGTTCATTTTTTTGTGCACTTTCCCGGCCTCTTGAAATCAAGGGTGACCAAGGGCATGCCTGGCTGGATTTTCACACGAAGTTCTGCGTTGACCCATATGGCCCGCAGTTTCGATGGAGCAGACCATCATTTTGGGGCCTGCAACCCATGTTTATGGGTCCCGGGGTCATGACCCTGAAGGAAGACAACATCGCCCTGAACCCTCAAAATTCCAACTTAAAAATTGGTTGTGGCTCAGATTTATGGGGTGAGTTCCCTTTTTCGTGGGGTGGTTTGAGGTTATCGTAAGCCGCGACGTTGGCCTTTTGAGCGCAGGCTTTGCTCTTCGCAGGCTTAAGGAAGAAAGTCGTAAACGTGGCCAGCACCCAAACGCATATTGCACCAATTCCGACTGCTGAGCCACAAACCCAGGCAGTTGTGAGGAATGCTAACCCAGTTGTAAGGACCTAAGGATTCCTTAGACTTCTTGGATTCTGTGTTCAGTTGTTTTGGCCGTCAAGCAAGACACGCGAAGGCTGAATGGTAGGATGAGTCGGGTTATGGGCACCACAGAGGCCTGCCATAAACACTAGCCAAACGCTTCTCCGCCTCTGTGAAGTGGTAGACTTGGAGCGCCGATGTCGGAAAAGTCGGATGCGTGGCAGCTGGTCGTCGTGGGCGTGTCTGACCAGTTTGTCGCGGACGAGCGTGACTTGGACCAGGATGACATCGAGCAAGACGATTTGGACCGGGATGACACAGAGCACGACAACAGCCCCAACCCATGCCGTGACGCCAAGATGCTGGCAAAGTCTGCCATGCTCTTGGGTCTTTGTTCAGAGCCGGTGGTTTTTGCAAAGAGGAGTCCGATGGATGAGCATGACCAACTGGAACTGCAAACAGCGCTCATAGAAAAGCTCCCTAAAGCAGCAAAAAAGATGAAGGAAAAGAACATCAACAAAATGATGGTCTACTATGCAGACCATGGCCGCCGGACCGTGAGTGTCGATCTTGACCTCCTGCTGCAAGAAGCAGTTGTGTCCGCCGTGGAGGAGAATGAGCTGAAGTACGTATGTGTCATAGCGCCTTGTTTGTTGAGTTGGTCAGCCTTTCACAATATACGGGGTTCCACTACCACTAAACCACTACAAGTTCCCCCCAAAGATACTGGGAGGGGTACTTCTTTGCATGCTAGCATTCCATGGCCATTAATAGAATGGTCGAGGTCGCTGGACTGTTTTTTGCCGAAAGACCGTTTTTTGCGCCTGGCCCTGCATATCCAAAAAAAACATGTTTCTTGTTGCCCAAGAATTGCTTAGGGTCA